GACAATGATCTTCTAGTCGAGATCTCTCCATTGGTCTTTTGTTGAATTGTCTGAATTTTACAGCTGCTCGTCGTGCCAATATCAATGGTCTAGCAATGCACTTGTCATCAGTCTTCAATCATCGATTTCGTTTTGGCTCCACCCATCCTTACCATCATAAGTGTGTTTTCTAACCTAACCGTTTTTCCACAAAAATCTATTACCTAATCTAATTTATTGGAAACGTCGTAGCCCCACGTTGACTCGTCCGGTACCGAAAATGGAGCGCCAGAAGGGATTTTCGCGGTCCTTTCTCATACCTTGTGGGGTATATGGGATACCACAAAGTACAATCTAAGCTCACACATCATTTCCTACAAACGGGCAGGTATCTTTCAATGAGATGCTCTTGTTCGGTATCACTACCCAGTGATTCTTATGAATGGAGAGGAAAGGGTGGGGCAGTTCTCAGTGAATCAATTAGTTTCACCGAGTTATGGTACCATTCCAAATAATATCGAGTACTGAACTGCTAACAGAGCCATCCGATACAAAACACCACTAAAGGAGGTGTCGGATCCTGTGCCTGAATTCCTATGGTTGCACGCACGCACTGGCCTCGTAGCAATAATCGAACTCACTCACTACAATAAATCATATCTTACCTCACACTGCTTGCTCTAAACGCGTCGGATGAGGGTAGGGCGGTACACCTACTGGGCACGGTATCCCGCGTTCACCTCAAATTCTCAAGTCTTTTTGCAACCTTTAAGTGTATCGTGGTGTTTCGGCCTTTCTTCAAATAAGTACCTATTTGATAAGATTATTTCAAGCGACGTCATGATGCTTTTTGTCTATACTTTGCCTTTTTTAGGATACTGAAGTTCCTCAATCTTCGCTTTTACGAAGCCTACCTAACCTTCCTCTATCTTGGCATCAAACTGCTTTTTCTAATCAACGTGCTCGTGCAGGTAAATCTCTAGATCTCAAACTGGCTTAGTTGTTACAGAAGTTGCGAGAAGCTCCCTGAGCCTGCCGTGGCAAAGACAGTGATTTCGGGGCTGGGCGCTCGGTGCGAGAAGCTTAATAGCTAAGATGGGCTTGCGTAAAGACGCGTTGGGATCGGCTTTACATTAAAGACGTCAGGACGATCAAGCAGACAGCTCCTATACAACTAAGAGTGAGGGATCCACGCTCGTAATGGTATACACACTTACTACTGAAAACACGATATCGTCCGAGAAGAGAAGCAATTGGTTCCCAAGCTCAAAAGACGCACAATCTTGGGATTTCGCGAAATCACCCCAGAGAGAAGGAGAAGGAGAGAATGAGAAGGAAAAGAAGAAGGCTGCGAGACGAGCTAGCAAAAAGCCCTGTGTAGTACGACAACGTTGCAATCTGCTATAAAATGACATATATGCATGTGACCGATTTTTATTATAAATATCTGAAAATACCGAAAAAGTGTCAACTATAATAAATAAATTAGCTGAGTCAAGGGTAACAATGCGAACTGCCTATTCTACTCAATTTTCTAAATTGTAATGGCACTGATTTGATTGACTTCATTTAAGTCATTCAAATCTGATGCATGAGCTTAACAAAATAAAGGCATCGATAGCGACAGCATCAGAGTCATCATTGATGCCCCTATTCTGTGATGCTCATCCCCCTGCTATCATTGTAATCATGACTACCCTTTATGTACCATTTTTAAGATGTTCCTGTTGAGTCGCTTTTTGGAGACAAATTCTCAAGGCTTCTATGGATATGGCATTGTATGGGATCTGATCACTGGAAAAGGTAGCATCAAAAGTAGCAGCACATGATTCGTGGCATAAGTATTTAGTCATTGCATTATGTCGGGCAACTCTATTTGACTGATTTTTATGAGGGACCCTTTTCACTTAATACAACTGCTGTTCAGGTTGGACAGAATCACCAAATTTTCCCGTGGTCACTTATTGTGATATGGAGATACGTATCCTTGGACATGTCCAACGTCATACTGTACAGTGTGTCCTGGTGATTAATATTTTTACTGAGAAGGTAATTTTTTATTTGATTGGGCTGTTTCGGATAAGGCACTGTGCTTTCACTCTCTGAGGGTGAGCTGGGTGAATTCAAACACCTCGCTGCGAATGTTCGGTTTCATACAGACTGATCAATGCTCTTCGCAGATATCTGTGTATTATTTGCCTCTCTGCGTCCTAATTAAAGTCCGATGAATTGTAGCCGGGAAGCCAAATGTCGAGATGACAGTTTAAGCAATTCCTGGTGTTCGGTCGTCCTTATGTATCAGAAATAGCCCCAAGCATTGTGTTTCCCATACTTTCAAAAAATGCCGCCATTATGACTTTCGACATACGAAAGCTCAAATCGAACTCTAATCCCTTGTTTCGGTAAGCTCTTCTACTATAAAAATGTGAGGAGTCGTCTCTCGCATGGCATGAATTCAATTTAACCTTTCTGCCTTCCTTACGTGCAAACCTCGGGAGCAGCATAATCGAGAGCCTCAAGTACGTAGCAAATCGCGACAAGCCCCATCAAAATGTTTTTTTCCAAAAGGTGCATCGTTAGGACTCACATCTCTCATGTCTTCTGAGGCAAAGAAAGCATTTTTATGATCTATACTGAGCACTACCGTGGGTTCAGGGCCAAAAAAAACTCCAGATGGCTTCGGATAAACCGAAAGTCGAACATGGCAGTGAAAAACTCCCCATAAGCAATAAGAGACTAATGAATACCGTTGTTCTATATACTCCTTTTCTGAGATATGCCATGAATTAGAGCTCCATTCAAAATTGAGATGGTATTTGAGTACATATTAAGTCTACTCAACAAGTATTGGAGAACTATGCACTACGACAGCAGCCGGCGTTCTCTTTTCCTATTTTTGAAAAATGATATTGAAAATAGGTTTCGAAGATGTTCAGCTCTACTGATTTGCTGAAATTCATTGCCAAACCAAATCACAGTGGTTGGTGGCAAGACACAAAAGAAAACACGCCTCAGATAAAGTGATCGTCTTATGACGACTTCTTTTACTCAGCACAGAGTTCCAGATATTTCTTCTTCTCTGGCTCTGGTACACCTTATTGGCCGTGATCTCGTTTGGAAGCATAATGTCATGGATTTTTTCGTCATTACCATTCGATCAACGTAAAAAGTAGGTTTACAAAGGCCTCAACCACAGAAATGTGGCAATCTTGTAAAGTATCAATTGAAGATTAGTATTAAAATAGATTGGAAAATATTCTTGGCAGGTTTATAGCACGGCGATTAGAACTTGCTGATGTGAGTTTCAAACGGCGCAATTTCACCGTCGAACTGGATGAGGTGAGTGGGATACTGCACATGTTCTTACCAAGCCTTGAGGTTATTTCAAAAGTTCTTTCTACAAGGACGGATTGGCCTCACATGTTGATTGTATGCCTCTCTTTTGTTCTCAAAATAGAAGAGAGTAGAAATTGCTTTAGATCCAAGAATAAGGAGTTATATAGCTACCAGAAGGTATATATCTCAACCTTTCTCAAGTCTCCAGAACTGTACTTTCTCATCTTGCTAAGAAAGTCGAGGGGAAAGTTTCGGTTGCCATGATTGCAACTAGCAATCCAGATCCTCCATCATCTTACCCAGTTCCCTCATATCGTTTCATGGGAGCTTGAAAATTCCCCAGTTGGTCCAGTGATTGAATGGATGACGTTCTTTCCAACCTCTCGTATGGCCCTCCTGAAATCGGTAACGTTTTCTAGGGGGCTCGTTGAGTAGAAATGGGATCTTCATACCCCTGTTCATCATAGTTCACCATACTGAAGTTATTAGATGTTTGCTGAAGTTAAGGAGAAGTATTTGGTCCTGGACTGAGTCCTAGTCTGTTTCAATTTCAACACGAAAATGTTTGCCTATGCACGGGTTCATGTAATAGATCTGACGATGAGGGTGACCTGCACTTAATAAACTGTTGTTACGACTTTTCTTCCACAATGCTTGCCATGTTTATAGTTCGTTCGCGATTTCGTAAAAATGGACGGCGTGTTCGTGCTGCGAATGATCACCATTCATTCGGGCGTTCTGATCTGTACCGAAGTGGTGGACACGATGTGGGATCAGTTCCTCGCTGAACAAGGTAGGCTAAATTCTAACGCAGCCTACAACTTCTCAAGGCCACTCATGTGGATAAGCTTTTAGGTCACAAAGTGATAACTGCACTGTTGAACGATGGTTGTAAGTTTCATTAATATCTGTCCTGTCAGTATTTTTTGAACTCTTCTTTATTGAGAAAATGATTTTTGCCTTATGCGCCTATGAAGCTTCGGACCTTCCTTAGTGTATATAGAGTGCATTTGGAATGTATATAAAGAGCGTGTGTGGAATGTATTTGTCTGTCGTCTGTCATTTGTCAAGCAATTCTGAATGACCTTAAAGGCACAGTTCACGATTTCTGAGATTCCCCACAGGATGAATTCGAGGCCCCCGCGTATACCATATCTAACACTTATAGGTCTGAAGACGGCCTAGTTAGGGAGTCGTAAAGACTCAAAGATTGGCCCGGGTGTATCCTCGGACAAGTTTCACCGGCATTGTATAGACTGCACCGATCACAATAGAACCCATGTAAGAAGTTCAAACAACTTGTCATGACCCATAGCGACCGTGAAAGGCGTTCTGCACAGTTCTGGCTTGATTTAGTCAGCTCTTTGTGCAATTGCAAAAACTGAAATCTCGTCCGAATACCCCTTCCATGTTAATTCCGTCATGGCAATCTTGTCCAACCTCTATTTCCCTACTTTTGAAGAGTCATATTTTTCTCGAAATCGGCGAAATCTCTCGCTTTCTTCACTACCGATGAACTATTCCCAATCTATACTTCCGCTTTTCGAATAAAAACGGGTACCTCGAAATTATTGTGAACGGTGCCTTTAAGAAACATATGCAGAAGACGAGTAAGGTTCTGGGTGAGTGGGGCCTAGGGAGCACATAAGAACCAGACCTAGCTTGTCAACGAATCCATCGTGGGGTGTTTGTCAAATCTAGAAGGTAGGCCCTGCGGTCACTTGCAAAGATCTGTAAAAGGCGTGGAATGGTTCGGCAAAATTGCATCGAAGGAGTATTCGGACGAGCTGTTCAAGTGTGTGTACCGTTGCGTACAGCTGGCTTCAGTAAGCTGTCTGGGTGCGAGGTGTCCGTCCCGGTGCGAATGATCCACAGCCTCTGCAACGTTGTGACGACACAACTGCCCCTGAGTGTACGTTGGCTCCGCTGGTTTTGGAGCTCTTGATATGCCCTATCTGGGCCGCTCTGCAGCCTGGCAGCGTCAGTTCTGCTATCGTTGCGGCTTATAGGTTCATTTTAGGGAGAAATGTCGGAGACACTTTTTATCGTGAACTGTGCCTTTAATAACATGCACGAGCCGCTTGCGCCGCTTTGCACAAGCGGAGGTCAACGAAACCGAGCTTCTTTTCTAGCTTCTTGTCAGTTTTTGTTGTTTCCTTTTGCTGCTAGTGTCCTTCTGAAATTTACCTGAGAGAGGTTTCTAAATCCAACTTGTCAATATGTTCTCGACAATGGTTGCAATACTCCATGGTTCTAACATTTACTTTTCCAGCTGAGAAGGATGAATACAAAGGCGATCGTGCTCCGTCAGCCGGTGCTGTCTCCCTAGACGTCCCACTTCGACGGAAGACTTCGGTATTAGTGCCGTTGATGTCACGAGAGGATCTCACCCAAATGTCCGATCACTTGCTGCGACCGCCCAGCCGAATGTGACAGGTGTAGGATCTTTTATCAAAAGCTGTAGGTGATGTGCTTTAAATATGAGTGATTTTCGACTGTAGTAGATGTGTTCCTGTTTGGGGGGAGCGTCACGTTCTACTGGGGTTGCCTTTGCACAAAATTTGGCCCAATTTCCTGAACACCCACGCGCATCTAAAAAGTTTTGTATTTTTTTNTTTTTTTCCTGAGCTGTTCAACGAATGGATTTATTACATCGTGATTTTATCATACATACATATATGCTCAATACTGAGCCAGTAGGGGTACAAATAAGTCTCAGCAGTACGCTTGCTGGATTTTTCTATTGTTCCATATTCTTGACTCGAATAGTATCTGGACAGCCTTGTAAATAGCCATATTCTTGTTCTTACGACAGACCGTACTCGTTGTTCACCGATACCCATCTGTTCCATAAGTGCCTATCATAAGCAGAAGCGAAATCGAAGCAGATGCTCTGTGTGCCTTACTCTTCCGGATTTTTGTGATTTCCCAACAACGACCACCAAGTTTACTCCAGCTCTTGTAAAGCATTTCATTTGATCTTGTATATTTTTGCATAAAGTTTGTGTTACCTTACAATAGGCAATTTCTCGACTGGTTTGCTAATCACTGTCTCGAGTACGTCGAGAGCTTGCAAATTCCAGGTCTTGTTCGTTGTGTAACGATTATAACGAAGTCTCCGGTGCTGGTGTTTCCACTTAGATTAGTGAGATCTCAGTGTAAATATCATAAAAAGTAACGATTTAATCGCTTCTGCATTCCAGATCATAGTCGAGTGCATGGCACATTAAAAGGCATGTGAAGAGGTTAAACACATTAAATAACATCTAATACTAAACGACACCTGTACTAAAATGTCTCAAACTTGGGTTGATTAATCAAAACAGGGCGCTTAAATTCGCAGGACGATACTGCAAATCGATTGGTTTCCGATCATCATATAGAGTTGGAGCTTGTAGCAAAATCAGTACGGTACCGATGAAGCACGCAAATGAGAAGATCAAGAGGAACAGTCTGTCCAACACCATTGCGACGTACTTCCAGTCTTCATCGATCTTAAAGCAATTAACTTACGTGTACGTGTCGACAGTATAGCACCAAAGAAGTGATCAGAAGGTGGCATATCGTAGCATATATAGTATCCTTACTATAAATAGCGCGCTAGCGTCTGTCTGTCCGTCTGTTTGTTTGTTTGTTTGTTTGTTTTTCGCTTGTGTGGGAATCCGATATTACTTGAAGAAGCACCTGCGGGAGGTGGGTCAAGTTTGGTATGGGTTGGACTTAGGGCAAGGCCAACAGAACACGTGTGAGCTTAGGCATCTCCAAAGAAGGCGGGACATGCACAGGAGTGGGCGGTGTTTGGGCAGAAAGTGGGTTAGGTTTCACAAGAGTTTAGAGGCGAAAAAAAATTAGCAAAGGTGATGGATAGGTCAACAAGTGGACTGAAGGAGAAACACCGGGGGTGGGCGGGACGTTTCCGCGGTGGGCGGTGCTTTCCACATATGTTCATGACTCGATTCAACGAAGGAGTGGAGGCCAGAAAAAAAATGAAAGGAGTGAGCAAGGCCTTATGCGTGCCGATCATGCATAAATTTGACGAAGCCCCACCTACAATGGACCGGGCGTGCGTTCAAATGGCAGTTTCTTCTTTAAAACATGTTTGATTCTGTTCAAAGGAAGGTTGTGTCTCTCCCGGTACTATGAGTACGGGGAAACAGTCAAAGATTCCCGGTTACCTGATTATCCGAATTCTTGAGTCGACACTTTTGAACTTCTTTTTGCAGAACCTTTAATGACTTAAAGGGCTGATTCTATATTGTACCTTATATATTATAATTTGTGTAAGTGCACACTTCACATACGCATGGTCACGGTTCGAATCCCGGGTCGATATCCGCCCAGGCCAATCAGGCCTTCCATCCTTTTTGGTTCGGTTAATTGGTACCAGACTTGTCTGGGAGGATAAAAGCCCTGACTTGTAGATCAGCTGGCCATCGCAAGTATTGTATAGGCCACACATGCATCGCATCTAATACGACACTACGATTAGGAATACAAGTCAGATGCGGGATCAGACGGGATTGATCAACGCCCCAAACTTTATCCTTTTGCTTTGTCTTAATGCTCCTCTTGAGTTATGAAAATGATTCTCAATTGACTGAAAACCCTATAAATTTAGAGATGCAAACTTAAATACAGTGGAGAACTATTCGCAAAACTTCCCAGTTCACTTCCCGCACTACTACCTCGGATATGAAGAGTGTAATGAGCTTGAGTATCCGCGCTTGGTTGAAGTAACCTTGCATCTGCATTATAAAGTTCAAAGTTTAGGTTTTTGGCGGCAATCAATCCTGTCTGAGGGATGCGCCTCTGCGGGCATCGATCCGGGATTCGAGCCCCTGACCATGCGGGTGATATAGTGCGCCACTTGCCACTCCACCACCTCCGCCCCTAAAAGAAAATGGAACGCTTCACGAATTTGCGTGTCGCAGAAGCCATGCTAATCTTCTCCACATTGTTCCAATTTTAGTATATGTTCAGGAATGAATCTGCATTATAAGCAACTCTAATTATGATGATTTTAAACCAATCCGATTTCAAAGCAAATTAGCCGGCGTACTCACCTTATCGTCCCTATCCTTCTTCTTAAGCAACTCCGCAATGAAGCAAATATTCTCAAACGCTTTTACTACCTAAATTCCATGAATACTGTTTAAAAAGGATCAGAACTCTTGATATCTTCATTTTCAGATGTCGTACGAAATCCAACATCAATGAGAATTAAGAATACATTGAGAAATTTGAAGCCCGGTACCTGGGGAGAGTAGTACAGTTTTTGAATTCGTTCGTCGATGGCGGCGTTGGCGAGACTTTTTCCGATATCACGACTCACGCGGTGCTCATGAAGGTTTAGAGGGATCTTCCCATCGAACGTAGTTGGTCCTAAAACTGTCCACACGAGATTCTCACTCTTTGATCAAGGTTATAATACAGTGCGTTTCATAATTATAAGGTCACCCTCGATTTTTGCGATTCTGGAGAAAGCAGCCGGAATGAAATTTTTTGGCAAACACCGGAAGATCCCTCATCACAATGTACTTCCGTACTCAAATTTTGGTCGCAATATCCTACACCTCAAATTTTTTTGAATTTTTGAAAGATAGTGTCGGGTTTTGCACCGTTTCATAATTATAAAGTCACCCTGAGAAAGTAAATGATTTGTTAACGTTGGTGGCATATGCACAACACTTAATA